AAAAAAAAAAAAAAAAAAAAAAAAAAAGAATTGATCAGGTTTAGATTCTAGCCCCAGAGCTACCCATATGGTATGTATGACCCACATCTGTGCCTCGGGTTCCACCATGTTCACTCTATATGTTGAAGTTATTTGAAAATTAAAATAATAAATAGAAATTATTATTAATATGTGTTGTAAGAGGCTGTGGTCCTAACAGGAATATGTCTATGCTGTCTGGTGTATGCTCACTAAATAAATACTTAATGGAATGCATATATTACTTTGGTGGAACAAAAAGTAGGCCAACTGGTTTCATTAGTTGTTATGCAGTCACATATACAGGTTGTCCTCAGTTTCAGTGAAAGAATCAAAAATGACTATATTGTGAAAATGACTGCAAAAAACAGAATGAATTCGGCTTTCATTTTCTACATTTTGAGGTTTAATGGTCTTACAGCAAATTTTAAAAAGAAAACTGAGAAAATCTGGTATAAATTATTCATAATTGGAAAGGATTAGGAAAACAAGTATGCAAAAAAATAAAAATAAAAAACCCACAATGTTAGTAATAGAGACCTAAACACATAGCTGGTAAAACCTTGATTTTTCTTTTTTTTAATTATACTTTAAGTTCTGGGGTACATGTGCAGAACATGCAGGTTTGTTACTTAGGTATACGTGTGCCATGGTGGTTTGCTGCACCCATCAACTCGCCATCCACATTAGGTATTTCTCCTAATGCTATCCCTCCCCGCAACCCCCCTACCTCCCAATAGGCCCTAGTGTATCATGTTCCCCTCCCTGTGTCCATGTGTTCTCATTGTTTAACTCCCACCTATAAGTGAGAACATGCAGTGTTTGGTTTTCTGTTCCTGTGTTAGTTTGCTGAGAATGATGGTTTCCAGCTTCATCCATGTCACTGCAAAGGACATGAACTCATCTTTTTTTATGGCTGCATAGTATTCCAGGGTGTATATGTGCCCCATTTTCTTTACCCAGCCTATCATTGATGAGCATCTGGGTTGATTCCAAGTCTTTTCTATTGTCAGCAGTGCCACAATAAACATGCCTGTGCATGTGTCTTTATAGTAGAGTGATTTATAATTCTTTGGATATATACCCAGTAATGGCATTGCTGGGTCAAATGGTATTTCTAATTCTAGATCCTTGAGGAGTCATCACACTGTCTTCCACAAGAGATGAACTAATTTAATCTAACAGCAATAGCGTAAAAGTGTTTTCTTGATGATGATGGAGATGATCCTGCAGAAACAATTGCAAAGAAGATAATGCCTTCTCCTTTCCCAGCTTACAGACCCCAGGAGCCCAATGTTTTTAGAATTTCTTTTTATTTTCAGCTAATAAATCATGATATATAATTCACAAGCAACTTAGATATCAACTAAAATTCATGTATCTAGTTGTCACTTGAGCTACGTTTGAAAATTTGACAAGGAATGTTAGCCAATTAGGAAGGAGTACTTATTTCAAGTATAGCTGAGCATGCAGGAAAAATGTTCATACTAGAAGTGATCCCAGAAGAATAAGATACAGAAAGGATCATAGAATGTTGAGAGTATAGTTTATTTGCAATGAGTCACAGAAGATTCAATTGCAAATTTGAGTAACATTACAGGATGTCTGTATCTTAAGCCGTTCTATGAGATAATCAAATAAGAAATACTGAAGTAGATCTAAGTTGGTTAAAAATGATTCAGGAAAACAGAAATAGGGGGCAAAATCCAAGCGTTTCTCACCCATCGTATATTTAAATACAGAGTTTTCGGTAGTTAAATGAGTTAATGTACGTGAGACACTACAGCTGCATAGTGTTGTGAACATGTTAGACATTATTATTGTTGCTGTTGCTAAAATTACAGGTGACATTGTAGAAATAGATATGGTTATTCTTATAATGGCATTATCATTTATATGTTAAAAAACCAATAAGGCAATCTCTTTATGGGCAGCTTTCTGTTATAAATAAGATAATAGAAATATATGTATATAAAATATAAATTAAATTTTTAACATTAAAGTCGCTAAATGAAATAATTTTAAAGATAAAAGATGGCATGTGGCATTCTCTCTTCTCTCTTGAGGCCACAGGTACATTTTCATTAGTTAATTATTTAGAGACATTTTATCATTAAAAAAATCTACCGTGAGCTTAGAAATCTAGAGTGAATTCATAAAACCAATGGCACATTAGTGAGAATATTAAATGGAGTTAAACTATGGCTTTGAATTGCAGGAATGTATTCTGTTATTTTTGTCCTTAGGGAGGCAGGGAGCAGGCCAATCAGATGATCCTTGAATTACCTCAGAACTCTACGATTGTATCAAAAGGACTCATATGGTGTCAGTATTATCTGAGGATTATTAAGGAGATACATTAGGCTTTACTGACTTTACGAGAAATTCTAAGATCATAAAACTATGTTCACAATGATCATCTGGTCATTCCTTTATGATCTGTGGATAGGCTTACCCAGAAGAATGCTGCATGAGGTTCATTATTTAAAATGCATGGTTTCTAGCAAGATAGCTGGAGAGCATTCAGTTACTTTTCATCACATAGTCATGGTCCTCCAGCCCACAGGGCATAGGCAATAATTTTCACCAAAATGAAATCAAGGCAGGTGTGCACATCACACTTCACATGACACTCAAGTTTGCTGCCTCTTTCCTTCCTAGGGCAGAGTGGGCAGAGCAGTGTGGCTCTAGCCAGCACCTTGGTATGAAAGTTTTCCAAGAGACCGGACACAGTGGCTCACACCTGTAATCCCAGTACTTTGGGAGGCTGAGGCGGGCAGATCACCTGAGGTGAGGAGTTCCAGACCAGCCTGACCAACACAGAAAAACCCCATCTCTACTAAAAACACGAAATTAGCTGGCCATGGTGGTGTGTGCCTGTAAACTCAGCTATTTGGGAGGCTGAGGCAGGAGAATCACTTGAACCCGGGAGGCAGAAGTTGCAGTGAGCCAATATTGCACCACTGCACTCCAGCCTAGGTAACAAGAGTGAAACTCTGTCTCAAAAAACAATCAAACAAAACACAACAACAACATAAAAACGAAAGTTTTGCAAGAATTATTAAAATAAAATAACCAAACAACGAGTCCTCTTGAGGCAGGAGAATATGGTCTGGAGTCAGGGAAAATCACGCTAGTTTGATAAAGCTGGATCAGAAGGCAAACACCAGGGCTGTGGGCAGGGAACCCAAGACCAATTCGTGCTGATTTCCTAAGTCTGGATCAAAAGGAAAAAAAAAAAAAAAAAAAAACCCTTTTCCACACCTAAAGGATCAGGCTACTCTCCCTACAACCCTCCCCCTTTCCACTACCTCACTGATAAAGAGGGAAAGTGCTTCGGGTTAGCCCCAGGCCAAATGTGTAACAACCCTTCATCTGCATAGGGCGTCCATACACTCAGGCCTGTGGTGGGCCAAGGACCAATTCACTTCAGCCTTAAATTATCCACAGGCCAAATCCTTTACACATTTAGCGGGTAGCCAATGGGGACCTCAAAAGAAGTACTTAAACCCCAGAAAACTTTGTAAACGGGACCCTTGAGCCATTCAGGCCCATTCCTACCCTGTGGAATGTCTTCTCACTGAAAAAATCCTCTACTTTCAATGTTTCCTTTCTTTATTTCATTTCTTTGTTACTTTGTGCTTTTTGTTCAATTCTTAGTTGGGCGTGCCAAGAACCTGGACACATCACACTCAAGGACCACCTTCCTGTAACGTTAAGAGCTCTCTCTCACAGTTGCTCTCTTTTTCTCTCTTTTGTTTGTGAGATTAGGTTTCAGCATTTCAGCCTCCAACTAAAAAGTTCACATCTATTTTGCAATATTTGTTATATAAGAAGGCTTTGAATCTTTGACAGCAAGAATATAGTTGAAACATAAAACAAATGAGCAAACAAATTCCTAGCTAACAAGAAAATAATATACCACCAGCACTGCCCTGATAAAGTTGATATTCTCAACTTTATAATTTCCATGATCGAGTGTGGTAGCTCACGCCTGTAATCCCAGCACTTCGGGATGCCAAGGCGGTCAGATCATGAGGACAAGAGATCGAGATCATCTTGACCAACATGGTGAAACCCTGTCTCTACTAAAAATACAAAAATTAGCTGGGCATGGTGGTGGGTGCCTGTAGTCCCAGCTACTCAGGAGGCTGAGGCAAGCAAATTGCTTTTACTCGGGAGGCAGAGGTTACAGTGAGCCAAGATCACACCATTGCACTCCAGCCTGGTGACAGAGTGAGACTCCATCTCAATAATAATAATAATTTCCCGTCATTATTTATTGCTATTTAAATTTCTTTATCTTCAATTCGTTAATGTGCATACAATAGTACTGAGTTTTGGACCTTCTGCTGGTAGCTTGCTTATTCTTTGAGAGGAGTTATCCATTTTCCTGCTTCAGACATTGCCTCTAGAACAATAACCTCTAGAGAACAGCTTTGACCTTACTCTTTAGTCTGTAGTGGTTTAAAAACGTCTCTTCCTGTTGAGACATAGAGACAATACGAATCTGAGCTCTAGGAGTGCTTGCAAAAATAAGTGGAAAAATATTGTCAGTTTCTGAGCCCAGGTTTTAATAAGTAGGCAGTTTCACTTCTCATCACTTGTGATGCTTGTTATTGAAACACAGCCACCATGCCATGAGGAAGCCAAGTAGCTCACTGGAGAAGAAATAAGTTTCCCAGCCCACATCCTCAAGTGAGCTCCCAGCTAACAGCTAGCACCAATTTACCAGCCACTAGAGAGTCACCTTGATAGTGAACACTTCTAGCCAGTTGATGCTGCTGTGCGCAGCAGGAATGAGCTGTCTCTGGCAAATTCTGTCCTACTTACAGTCATGACCAAATAAATAATTGTTGCTGTTTTAAGTCATACGTTGTGTGGGCAGTTTGTTAAGTAGTAAAGAAAAATTGAAATAAAGCCAGGTGCAGGGCACTTTCAGAGAGGCCAAAGCAGGTGGATCGCTTGAGCCCAGGAGTTCAAGACCAGCCTAGGCAACATGGCGAAAACCCATCTCTACAAAAAGTACAAAAATTAGCCAGGTGTTGTGGTGAGCACCTGTGGTCCCAACTACTCAGGAGACTGGGGTAGGAGGAACACTTGAGCCCAGGAAGTTGAGGCTGCAGTGAGCCATGATCATACCACTGCACTCTAGCCTGGGCAACAGAGCGAGACCCTGGCTCAAAAAACAAAAAGAAAGCCAAGAATGCTCAAGAGCAACATTGTTCACAATTCCAAAGGTAAACTAAATGAGTTCTATGTGAAAGCCCTAATTTAACTTCGTCTTAAAATTCTTACTGAAGTTCTCTATCCATCTATATATTCCAATGTATCTTCTCTCAAACAAGACAGATTTTTTTTCTTACAAGTTCTCAAATCAGCTAATGTTAGATACCAACTGCTCTGCCTTCACAATGGGCTCTAAACGTCATTCATTTTCTCTTTCCCTCCTTCCTCTCAATAACTAACTCATCAGTAACCAAATACTCTCCTCTTCTAGACATCTG